TTCTGCCTAGCAAAGAGATCTTAATTTTAGTGACAAATTAGATGATTTGCTATTATTGTTCTAATTGTCTCTCCTCGACCATCATAAGTTGATATGAAATAAGTATAACTAACTTTTTGATTTAATCTAAAATAATTGGATTTTAATTGGATATTATTATTTAAAATGAAGGAAAGATTTCAAATTTCAAAATCTAGCCAATCAAATTAAATAACTAACTATAATTAGTATTACTTAATTATTTTTCAAATTTAAAATATATCTCTGTTGTTTAAAATATATTTATACGAATAAGAAATGTTTTTATTGGATATTCAGGAATAATTTTAAATGATTAAATCTTGGTACTTTTCTTAATCTATATTATTTTCAAAAGAATTCTAGCTCCATTTCATAAGCAAACATGGCCACAGGATCTATCGGTTCCATGTATTGTGGTATTATACTTGCAGGATATTATTTACTTGCTATAGGCTCAGCTTCAATTACAGCAGATTATTTATATAAACTAGTGGCAAATAAATGATTTCGCATTGATTCTAAGTTAGTGAGGTTTGAATAGACTTTAAGACCGATATCAAAAGAAGAAATTATTTATGAAATCAAAAAAATAATATATTCTTGGGCTTCACAGATCGCAATTTACCAGATAAGGCCTGCGCAATTAATATATAAAAAACTTTGAAGCCTAAGCATTAACTAATTCTAAATCTTAAATTGTAGGAGGACTCAGGTTTAACTAAAGATGATCTAGTGTAAAAAAATATCATGTTAGTTAGGGCAATTCAAAGTAAGATACATCTTTAGGACGTAATAAAAGATTGAGATATTTTAGAAGAACAGAAGAGTAGGGAAAAGAAATGAAACATATTGAATAAATAAAGAAAGAGACTCCTAAAAAGAGAATAAAAGCAAAATATCTGTTATAATTACAAAAGCTAGTTAAAGAAGTTGAATCTCCTCTGATTAAGGAATATTAAAATTGAAAACTGAATTTATATTAAAGAAGAACAAAAAAAGAGTGAATTTTAAAATCAAATAATAAAATATTATGAAGACTAGCTCTATAATTTTTACTATACTTAATCTCTGATTACTTAGCTTTCTTCAATTATTGTTTAAAATTGATTTTTATAATTTGATTTCACGGTGAAAGTTTTATTAAAATGCACTTAATGCTGAATTTGCAGATGAAGATGATGTAAAGAAATAACTATTAATGTTATGAGAATTTTTATATGACATATAGATTTATAAGAAGCAAATTATAAATCTATCTATTTTTTTGTCTATTATTAAAGAATTCCAAAAAAAAAATAAATATCTATTCAATTCTTCTTTTGTAATATCTTATTATACCAAAAAGAATTAATTAAAATTTTTATTATAAATATGGAATAGGATTAAGTGAAATAAATAGTATTTAGTAGTGTAAAGGATTCTTGATTAGTAGTGAATGAGTTTATAAAAAACATTATAATTAATTTAAATTAAATTAAAATAGTATTTAAGTATTTACCATTAAAATATAATAAAAATAATATCATTTATGTAATATGATGGTAACCAGTAAGTATTATTATACTATATAGAAGCTACTCTTAAAAGTACTTCAAATGGATTAAACTTATATAAAGAAATGGGTATATATTCAAAGGCAAATAATCTAAAATAGGTAGAAAGTAGTTAAATAATTATAACTATGCTTAATTCTGAATATAACAGAATATTGAAAGATAAATAATCTAGAAAAACAAGCAAAGTATGACTAAATTATTTTATGTTGTAAATTATATAATACTCTAAAAGCATTATTTATTGCTATTAATTTATTAAAAAAAAATAGATGAAAAATTTTCATTTTTCTGAGATTAAATGAATAACAGAAGAGAAGAAAGAATTTGAACAAAATGCATTGATCACATGATATATATCAAATTCTTGATTCCAATTAATATTGAATTTGCAAATTTTGACATCTCTACCAAAAAATTCATGACCTCAATTTCAAAATCTATGATCTACTTCTATCAATACTATGTTTGACTCGAAATTCTATAATAAACAATTATTAATTTTTATCTAAAGAAGTGTTTGTATAGATTAGAGACTTTTGTTGGAATCATATTTTAATATATGTTTAAATAATCCATAATTGTAATAAGTTCCTCAAGGATTTTTTTATCATAAATTATTATAGAATTTATAGATCATTTAGATATTAATTAGAGATAATAAAAAAGCTTACTTAAAGAAAATGATTTTGTTTAAAATAATTATTAACAATAATATCGTTGGCTATAATATAAATCTGGTCAATTGCTAAAGAGAACAAAGAAAATTTGTAAATATTTCAGATTTATTTAATAAAAATATTTGTAATTTAAAACAAAAATTAAATAGCCCAATCATTTCAAAGTGAACCATTAATTTATGCAATATTTTAATGGAAAGAATTAAAGGTTAAATTTTAATTATAAAAACTTATCAAAATTTTATATTTATCATTATACACGTTAAGCTCAATTAAAATCCAACATTATAAAACTATAGTAAAGACCATCTATACCATAGATATAAATTCTCTGATATTTGCATGATGTTAAGATAGATTTTTGGTTAATTGGTAGGATGAAATTTGCACAATTTCCTAAAGGAAATTAATAATAGTATTATTATTTCAATTCCATTTAATTCTTTAATGAAAGCTTAGTATTATCATGTAATTAAGTTATAATTTTGAATATGATGAAATATTTGTATAAGATTAACCACTACTATTAATATTTATAATTCTTATAAAAATTAAAATAATATTTAGTATTTTCAGAATAGTAAATATTTTTGAATCTAGAATTACTGAATCATGTTTTTTGAGTAGTATCAAATGATCATTAATTATAATCTATTGTCATTACTTTCTTGATTAAGTTATTTATTTATTGCTTTTTTAAATTGATTTTCACTCAGTTAAGATTTTCATAAATTTCGCCCTCTAAAATTCCTTAAATTAAGGCTAAGATTTTTATGTAGATTCTAAAAATTATTTTAAGATTGAAAAAAAAATTTTTTAATTTCATGAATATTTATAATAAGCTTCAGCTTTTATGATATGTAATTCCATATTTATTGTATTTCCTCCTACATTTAATACTTAAAATTCTTCCACAAACTAATCAGGAAATTCAATTGTTACTATGCAATTTGCTTATTTGTTTTCATAAATCTTTGTTTTTTCGTTATTTAATATTGCATAAATGATAATATCGTAATACCTGAATTAATTCTAGAAAATATAGTCAAATTCCCAAAGCCAAATTTTTAATGTATTTAGTAAATATTTTTACATAGGTGTCATGGAAATATATTTGCCCAATTGACAATAAGTGAAATCTACTCCATTTGTCATAATTGTATATGGATTATCTTTTAAAAAAGATGCATTATTCCCATATTCGAAAAAATTTATTTTTTTTGACGATATCAATGATCCTTTTTATAATTATAGCACATTTTTGTGATTACCTTTCAATATTGATTGTTGTTATTTAAATTATGTTATGCAATACTATTCGGTATATTAAATTAAGAGGAAAAAAATAATAATAAGAGCTAATCCTTTTTTCATCTGTAAAAATTATTTATTAATTATTATAAATAATAAAATAGTGGATTGTTTCATCTTCAATAATTTTATTGCAAAATTAATCAAAACTGCTAACCCTGAAATTCTTTTATTCTCAAAAAACTTTTATCGCTAAATTTATATATAAGGGAATATTAATTTATTTTCTCTTATAGTATTTTTTTCAAAACTTTTTCTTATTTATATGATGATATCTTTAGACCATCACTAATTATTTTCAGGAGTATAATTTTTGAAGTTCCTTTAAAGTTGAGACAGCCAGTAAATACGAATGCTATGAGTTATAAAATATTTACTTAATAATTCTAATTGATTCTTTAAGAATGATCACTTAAAACACTTTAAAAAAATTTAAGCATTTTATGGAAAAATAGTCATTTTTTGAATTGAGGATTAGCTTTACTAGAACAACTTTGATTTATAAGTATCGTTTTAAGCATATAAAAGACATTCTCATTAATGAAGAAAATTCTAGAAATATCAGTTGACGTACTAAAAAGGAAAGTTATTAAGAAATAAAGTTAGTTTAAATTGCATAATAATGATATCAAGGTGTAGATTTTACATGTTTATAATCTAGTTAATTTAGGAAATGTTTAAAATTTGATATAAAAAAGACTTGCAATTATGGATTCATTGAGGATCAAGAATAATAATGTTATTATAATAAAAATGATAGAGAAAGTATGATTGAAGGTTAAATGAGTTAAACTTATTTTCAATGTAAACATTTATTAGATCAATTTCTATGATATATATTTTAATTGAAGTTATTTTAATTATCATCTTTAAATACTTATAGAGAATAATCTTTTTAGAATTTTGTTAATATATTTATTCAATATTCAATTTCAAATTTAAATTTAATTTTCTTTTATCTTTAATCTATTTAGTTTTTATGTTTTACTTTATTAATTTTATTCAAAAGTGCTTATCTTGTACTAAATGATGGATCTTTAAGTACTGTTATTTTATACTCCTTTTCTTTGCTTAATCAATTCAAATTAAAAAATGTATTTAAAATAAAAATAATTCTTATGAAATTATTAACATACCTCTAAGAATAAAAATTGAATTTAATTCTAGAGAATTATAAAGAGAATAATTCTTTATTAAATTAAAACCTAAAATTTTTTTAATATCTTCAATTTATCAGTTATCTCTAAATTTTATTGTTATATTTTGATGTACTGACATCTGAAATAGGAAAATAAAGGCAAATTTATAAAATAATTTTTATACATAAACAGTAATTAATTTAATTTACTTTCTACAATATTCCATAATAACTAAATAACCATAAATAATAATTTAAATAATTAATAATTACCTATTTTATATCTTAATTTAATTATAGCTAATTAAATAATAAGAGTTTTTAATAAGTAATAATAC